TGAGACACTGAGGGCGTCCGAATATTAAGAGGATCGTCCGCGTCAACGGTGCGGCGGCTGGTGATATGTGTACGCCGTCTTTGACCCCGCAACCCGCAAGCCCCTCACCAACAAGCAATCAGCAAGCTGTAGTGCAAAAACTAAGCAATTTAGCAAAAAAAATGCAGATACCTTTCCGGAAAACCAAACTCTTACGACAATATTCGCAAGCCTTTATTACACTATTACGCCAGCGGACATAACTTTGTGGCTATGATACCACTTTTGCGGTTTCAACTATTTAACTGGACTATAAAGATTTTGTTTATTTATGGTACCATAACTCGTTTAAGTTTTGATTATATCGTTAACATAATAACAACTATACAAAATATTACTAAGGATCGTTCTCAACAGATTTTTATTGAACTTGGTATTTGAATATGCTAGTATCTGTTTGGGTTTTTTGGAACAAGGTTACAGTGATTAAGTGTTGGTACTCGTATCATCGAGACCGATTCTATGTTATTCAAACATGTGATAGAACGGTACTGATTTCATAAAACATCAACATACTTTCTTTAACTGAATTTTCTTAAATATAGAAATACTTTTACTGCTCTGGAACATTTACATTCATGAGATAAAAAGTGCGCTAGACAGAGAGTTTCTCATCAATCAAAGAAATAAGCGTGAGATGATTATTTCATCAGTCGACAAGAAGCTAGAAAAAGACCAAAGAACGTACTCGGAAACGAAAACAAAGTGCTCTTTCTGAGGAGCTGAGAAAAAAGACCGATAAAAGTAATGTTTTAACTTCGGTGGTGTCAAGTCAAGAATTAGGGCTTGATTGCAGCTTCAGCAGCTTCTAGTGACACAAGTACTTTGAAGGATAACTTTGTGGTTGTTATACCGAAAAAGTACAAGGACGTTCAAAAGTCTAATGAAGTTGGGCCGTCGACTAGCGGTATATCTACGCAACACGTTACCAGTGCTCTGGATCGTAGACCGAGAAGCAATGCGCCTGATTATTCCATTGCCTGCTGCCCTTGGTTATAATCCCAGTTCACTCCCAATATCTCGAAGCACAATTCGACGTGCAAGAAAAAAAGCAAGAACTGATTTCAACTTGGATATGGTAGAAAAATTCGACATGAATGGTCCACTTGTAATACACTGGGATGGGAAAATACCACCCGATATAATAGATAATAAAAAAGTAGAGCGTCTTCCCAATTCTTGTCTCCGGCAATGGTTGCGAAAAACTGTTAGGCGTACCAAAGCTTACTGCAGGAACAGCATAAAAATTCTGATGCCGTATTTGATACAATGCAAGAATGGAAAATTGCAGAAAAAGTCCAGGCAATGAGTTTTGACACTACTGCGTCTAACACCGGTGCCAAAAATGGAGCATGCGCATTTCTAGAAGCAAAGACGGGACGTGATCTTTTATGGCTTGCTTGACGTCATCATGTGTTCGAAATATTCCTTTCAAAAATATTTACATTGTGCTTGCGACCATCAAGTTCTCCTGAAATAGCGATGTTCAAGAGGTTTAGTGCAGTTTGGAATGCATTACAGAAAAATCAATATTATTGTCTGGACGTCAATGATAAGTCTAACTATGGCGAGAATAAAACAAGTTCGCGATTACTACAACGAGCTAATAGAGCTCACGATGATTGTTTTCAACAAACCACCTGGGAAGATTCACTATCGTGCTTCAGGTCCGATACATTGTAACAGTTGGCTTTTATTGCCGATGAATCATATATTTTTTTTTGTTGTTGTTGTTGTCGCACAGGTTTAATTTGTAGTAATGCAGCAAGAACTTGAGAATGAAGAAACAAAAGCCGATAATCTAATCTAATAATCTCCGTAGCATATTATTTTTATTCATAGCATATTATTAAATCAATTTTATTGACAAAAATGACTAGACCGGCCCATTGGCCATTTCCAAAGATAGGGCTTGTTTTTAACGGTGTATTTAGCTATACTTTTCTCACGTAATTCATAACCAAAATAAATAACACGCAGACATTTACCTATTATCATGTTTATTTGAAACAACAAACATAACACATGAATACCACGGAATAACTATAATTTTTAATTTGTATCCGTTGTTTTTCTTCTGTAGTCGTTTGGCTGCCTGTATATAGTAGTCAGCATCTTCCATGTCACTGAACAATTTGGGAACTGAAACCAAATATTTCTCAATCAATTAAACATAATCCATCCTGATCTATTTTATAATCCAAAAATTTCAATTATTAAATTTAACGTACAGCAATCGCACTCCATTTTGATCATCTTTACAGTTTCTACCACTCAGTTTATAAATGTGTAGTCAATTTTCCATGCATTCAGGTAATTAATTGAAGAATTTACTCACCCTGATATGGACAATTTCTTCTTGTGTTGCCTAGTAATTTCCCTGGTTCACCATGAGTAATAATTTTAGTATTCATCTCCAGATATTTTCATAAATAACTCGGTTGCTTCCATCCCATGCTAGATCTTCCACCGTCAAGAAATCAATTCAATCTCGAAATTTTCGCCTCGGGGATTTGTTTACATCCCAACAACAATCCGGTTTGTCACTCCGGAGCTAAAAATAAATAAATAAATAAATGTACATCTATAAATTGATATCACCTTCTGAATTGAAAACTATTTGTGTTGCATAAATATTATTACTCACCTATTGAACTATGTATTTCTTTTATAATCAGATGAATTTATTATTGTTTTCTGAAATATTCCAATGTCAAAGGCTGATGTCGCTGATGTCGTGATACTAATTGCGTTCGCGGGTCAAAAAATGAACCAGTTCGGAACTAAAACTGAACCATCCAGAATTACACAAATGCGCATGTCCAGTTATTTTCTAGTTCGAGATTTTCGTTTACCGCGAACGACTTTGGAACCGTTTGCGTATTCAACACTGTTGCCAATTTGCCCTTTATTTTGTGCAGTTGCCAAGCTGCTATTCGATTGATACTATTGACAGCTTCCAGGTGCTTTCGGTACTTCAATACCTTCCAATAGTTCTTCCAAATCATCATCGCTAAACGATAAATGGTCCGACATATTACGCACAAAATCTTAAGCACTGAATCTTAAGAACTTGAGATGGAACACACAAAACATATGTATGGAACAGCAAGCACTAAAAAGCACAGGTGACAGATTTTCACAGAATAGGTTAATTAAACACTTTGAACCCGAACAGAGGCAGCGGAAGATGAAATATCAAATGTCCATAACGATGCTATTGCGCATGATCAGTCGGATCGAACTTTTAGTCTCACGAAAAATCTGAGAACTGTCAGGACCAATTCGGAATCAGTTCTGTACCAATTCGATATGATCCGCGAACGCAGAACTGTAACTAAAAATTCAGAATTTTTTTACTGCGAACGCCGATTTTTGAAGTGCGCATGCGAAGCGGTTCAGAATCAATCCCGAATCGGAACCACGAACGAAACTACTATTCTGCGTACCGAACTACTTGCACACCTCGCTTGTTCCGCATAGTTGCCAATTTCATTTCAGAATTTTCTTATGTTTATTAATCAATCAAATTTATATGCAGATATGACAGTGTTGCCACATTTATTCACGATATTTCCTTGAATTTATATTGGGAACCTTCTCATTTTGGGATTAGCCGACAACGTTTGGCTCTTAATGGTCAGGCGTACAACTATATTTCGAAATGTCAAGTCAAAAAAAAAATTAAATTTTGGGAGGGGACTTCCTTCCACTATCGGAGATCGGAGGGCCATCTTGTTCTGTTCCGCTAGTGCCAGAAGACCTGAAATTTTCCTCCTCTTTTGCCTGGGGCATCTTCGTTGGATTGTGGAAGAAAATTTCAAAGATAATTTCCTGGGTCATTCCTGTTGTGAGTGCGTAGCATCTTTTTTTTGTCTACCCTTGGACCCGAGAAATTCTACAACTTGTAGGTTCTTATTGCCTTCAGCCGCACTTTTCGCCAGACGGAACCACGTGAAAAACCCTACCCGACATCATCTAGGTGAGCATTATTTTATTTTAAGTAAATGAAAATTTAGGCAGAAGACCATATTTCTCATATATATGAGTTTTCTCAAAAGTAAATAATTATTCTTGTTCTAAAATGGAGTTAACTTCGTATTCTGTGGAGCATGCGTTGGTTTTATGATATTTTCCGAGTAACTCAAAGTGTAATTTTAAATCTGTTATACCGGATGGTCAAAAATCATAATTGAATTATCTAAAATATTTAATTTGTGTTGGCTCCTTTTTTTATAATTAATATTCAATATTTGAAGATTAATTTTCCAATTACGTTAATTGTTGTTAACTAAATTTGTATTTTTTTTTATACTGTTACATTCGATCGCCTGTATACTATTATTCTTCCTAGGGTTTTTAATCTGGGTGAATCTTCGCTACTGGAGATCCATTGACACGTTTTCTACCGGGAACCTCTTTCCGAACAGAGACGCTTTTTCCACCATAGGGATTCTTACGTCATCGGTTTTGAAGCCTTCCTCGCCCAATTTAAATTAGTTAGTCAATAAGCTTTCGCATTCAGGGAGATCTCCTAGTTTGGCTGGCTTAAATTTTTGTTGTTAGCCGTTAGTAGATGTAATAAAATGTATTGATGTTAATTTGAGCAATTATTTACCCAAACAGAAAATCTATTGTTTGTATGTATTTTTGTTTTTGTTTCTTGGGGTTTTGGGCTAAAGAGTGCCTTTCAACACCAAGGCGTCTTCCAGTTTTGGCGGATAAAAGCTGGTGGCGCCCCTAAAAAAATACCCCCCCTACTCTCCGGTGTACCTGAGCATAGGGCCTAATTTGCCAACGCTAAACCACGGCTCTAGCCTCAGTAACCCCCTAGTTTTTTTTTTAATCATCCATTGCCTCAATTGAGAGAAATAACTTTAGCTCAAAATTAAAAAGTGATTTTAATTAAAAAAAAAGCGTGGCGACATCATGCTAGATGGATGTTAAAACTGTTGTATGGTATGAAGATTTTTCTTTTTAGAGGTAATTCAGAATTATTTAAACTAACTAAGAGAGAAGACAAGCAAATAGCTCGATTTTTCACTTTTGGAGCTCTCGTCTACACCAAGATTTGGATCGAAGCGCCTTTGGCAGCAGACGCACCATTCAATGACCTGCTGCATTGGAAGTCATTAAAATTATATGAAGCTATCGATTTAGGAATCAGTATAGCTGCAAGGGTTGTACTCGAGCATCACTTATGGTAATTGTCTGATGAGCTAGTCGCTTTTGCCTTGTTTTCGGATAAACTGTCTAATGGCGAAAAAATAGCCATTATTCAAAAAATAAATGTTAGCAGCGAATTTCGTTCTGTACGAAGTAATCCTAGTAAACTTTCCGCCGAGGCTACATTAGAAATATTTGCATCACAAAGAACTCAAAAAACGCTGACTCTTCTGGATATCAAAACCTCTTTCTTGCATTTATCGCCTGAGACCTGGTGTGACAATTTAGATTACCTCCAAGGAAAAAATTGCATAAGAAATATGCGTGTTGCTAACGATACAACGGAGAGGGGTGTCAAATTATTTGAAGATTATAACACGGTACTTACAAAGGATGAGGAGGAAAAGCAATTTTTACTTCGCGTCGTCGAACAAAACAGAAAGCTCGTTTCTTCTGAAGCATCCAAAAAAGGGCTGACAGACCTGGTTTTAGGTTATCACTTAACTTAAGTGAAATCATTTTAGTATTAATTTATTACTCTTTTGTTTATAGCATTTTGTATGTTTTGTTAATGCTTTATTTGTATTAAAATATTCACTTTTGATATGGTTATCATTTTACTTAATACGCCGACCGTTTTATGGACTTTTCATGATATTAAGATATTTCAATGTCAATGAGTATCCCTCTGCATATAAGATATGGAGCTGAAATTTCGCACGCATAATAGGAAAAGTATGTGTAACAAATCTAGGGGGTGAGCACAATTACACTTGAATTTTTTGTTTCGCTATACGGCATGGACCACCCTAATATACATGTATATATCAAAAATGAAAGACAGAGTCCCGCTGCTTGGCTTAACCAACTCAGTCTAGTCTATCAATTGCAACAATTGCAACCAAATATACATAGGTCATATCTCCAGATCTCTTAAAGGAAGGATTACATCACACAAAAGTGATTCTAGGCTTCATCCTGAAAGATGCGCTCTAGCATCTCATGTTAACACAACAGGGCACTCTATGAATTACACAAGTATCAAAGTTCTCGATAAAGAAAAACACCTATCCAAACGTTTATTCCTGGAAATTTCCCACATTTTCATGAATAACAACTGTATCAATAAAAAGACAGATGTTAAGCAACTGAGTGTCATTTACTCATATTTGCTAAACTGCGAAAAATTGGAGCACTTACACATCTCCCCAAATTTTGACTCTTCACAACCATAAATGGAATCTGTTTCTTGGTCTATTCCATCAATAAACTTCATTCCATTCAAGTTTTAATAATTTTCTCCTCACGATTTAATAATAATTGTTAATTTAGTTGCCCATTAATAAAGTATAGTCAATTCAACTGCCTCTGGTCGGTTTGACAATTTCTTACATAACACATTCTGAAAATCACATCATCTGAAGTGATTTGGCAACGTAGCACACACACGCCCACGAAATAATTCGTTCCATCTTTCTACACAGACACTGACAACCTTCGACCTTTTGTCAAAGGGTTCATCTCACTCATTATTCCATGCCCACCATTTTGTGCAATCATCAAGTGGCTCCACGATGTAATGCTTTCATGTTCCAAAAATTTTTAATCTGTTTTTAACTTGTTCTTGTCACACAGTTGTGTGTATTTTATATAATTTTGACCATTGTACCATCTATCCAGCTTTCACTATGTTACTGGGTGTTTCCCTCATCCTGAACGTAAATAACAATTAGCAAGTCAATTTAAATTCATTTTACACTATTGTTGCTACTGTTATCAATGTAATTGCAGCTCCTGATGATGATGGCAAAGTCCATTGAAAGCTAGAGAGAATAAAAAAGTATAAAGAGTCCTCTTTGCTTAAATTTTTGTCGAAGTACCCAACAAAAGGCGGAAGCTTTAATTTTTCACTTATATATATATATATATATATATATATATATATATATATATATATATATATATACAGGGTGACTTTGAAGTTGAGTCATTAATTTTCAGATAATGATTGTAGAAGGAAGATAAACCAAAATATGTGTGTAAAAATAAAAAAAAATAAAAAAAAAATCTACCTTGTTTTATAAAGTATCCTCCCGACAAGTATTTCAGTGCGGACCTGTATTTGATCGTGAGGTCTTGGAGCACCGGCATGCCGTGCATATGTGAGGTCTTAAGTCAAATGATTCACGAACCCGTTGTACTACATTAACAAAGGCACGAGGGGTTGGTTGCACTCGATTGGGAAAGCGATCCGCATAAACATGTGCCATTTTTTATTTCGTTTGAGCCACGCAACAGAAACCACTATTCACTACCGACTGACACTGACTGTATAGTGTATACAACTGAATGAAATAATTGTAAAAACATCGTTCCAAATTCTTTCGCTTTTTTGTTTCCGATGCGATGAACTGATAAGGCGGATTATATCCGTTGTTGCCAAACACGAGCACATGATATTATTATTGAGACAGGGCGGTACTCAAACTTCCAAAGGGCTATAACTTTGTTACTTTAATTTTACCAGAAAAATGGTAAACGAAAAAAACATTTCTTTTGATCAGATCTACTCACTGTTAAAATAAATGACTCAACTTCGAAGTCACCCTGTATATATAATCATTTCTTATCTTCTATTGACACTATGACAACAAAGTAACAATTTCCACTGAATCTATTCACTACACTTGCACTGTTGTCATATGTGAGAAGGAACTTAACCTATACAATATTATGGAGATAACGTGAAGTTCTTATAGATAAGATTCGCTTCAAAGATAAGATTCTGCTATACGGAGACGTAGCGTACATTGACTTCGGTACAGTTTTGCAAATTTGACATATTTTACACAATGTGTGTAATTTGCAACGCTGTATTTACAGTATTAATAAAACCTATTCCCGTGCCTTTATTTTCTCTGGCTATTTAAATAGCACAAAGAGAAAAATGAATAGTTCTAAAATTATTTGTATAGGACTCTTGATATTGAGGTAGTTTAGATATACATATTTGAGATAGTTCGCTAGATGGTGGTCTAAATTAATTATATTTGGAAATAGCAATAGTTGCTATCTTTGATGCCGTAATAATAGGAGCTAACGCATTTAAAATGAAATGAAAATTAAAAAAAAAACCTTGTTACGGTAAAATTGAGTTTAGCAGTTGAAGTGAGACTGCGCTGATTTAAATGCAATGAACATCTTATTTGAATTTGACGTAAATCTTTAAAAAAAATATCGTCTTTATTATTAGGTAATGTAAATCGTAAGTAAGTTTTCTACAGCTTTTTATGATCTCCATCTTGTTCTGACCACTAAATAAAATCGCAGATGCTCTCGACATCTTTTTTTATAATACAGTAATACAAAAGTTAAAAAAAAATGATGTTGATTTCAAATATATTACCAACACCCAAATAAGTTAAACTGACACTCAGGCGCCAATGAGAGCGTCTTAAAGTGACGTCTGCACTGATTTTGGAATACCAACAAGAACTGAACACACTGGAGGGAGACAATAAAGTCACGTATACACCGTAGGTAGCCAAGGGTTTGGATAGCCACAGATCACCAGCCTTTCATATGTACATATAGAGCTAAGAACAGTACCGGTAGGGTAACTTTCAAGGAGCAAGATACAATCAGCTTTAGTGTTAACTTTCGTTTGGCGACTCTCTGGAAAAAGGATTTTGTATCTGAGAAAGGCTGCCAAAGTAGTCGAAACCGATATATAAGCCGATTTTATTCAACACCTGTCGCTTTATTTATTCGCCAGAGCAACATGAAAATCAAACGACGAGGCATAAGTAAAACCTTTCTATTTTCCAGAATGGAGCCTACATAAATTAAGTGTATCGCATATACAGGGTGTCTCGAAATTTAAGGATAATTTTGCAACCGTAGGTAGGTCACGTCACGGCCACTAGATGGTGAAATTTTGTTTTATTAAAAGTCTTATAGTTTTTGAGATTTTCAACATTCAATTTCTGTTTCAAATTGGCTTATATTCAGTTAATCCCGTGACATTTCGACAAATATCAACTTTTTTGAACAAGGCTTGTTTTTAAAAACGCTAAGAATTAAGCATTTTATCCATATTATTTTTTCTTTAATTGGCGAAAAACCTACATTAAAAATCATGCCAAAATCTAAATTTTTATTAAAACTCCTTCTCTCGCCTGATTTTGATACCCTGTAGAGTGAGACGATCAAGTACGATCACTGTGTCAGTTTGTCGAAAATGTTGGTTAACTATTGGTAATTTTTAAATGGTATTATTGTTATTCGTCCTTTGCTGCTTTTTTCGTTTTATTGCAGTTATAATGGAGGTGGGCCAGTTTTCATTGATATACACCTAAGAAAATGACAATTTATAGCTTGGTTTAAAAAAAAATGGAGAGGCTGGCACGACCATCGTGCATGCCTAAACAAAATCGAGACTCGTCACTAAAGACAATACTGTTCCATTTCTGATCCCAGAGTGACCGTTGTCTGCACCACTCAAGGCGATTACGTCGGTGTAAGGGTTAGAAGGCGACGTGGTGAAAGGAGGAATCCTCAGTTTTTTGTTGAAAGACATGTTCATCACACTGTTGGAGTTATGGTTTGGGGTGCTATAGCTTATGGTTCCAGGTCACCTTTAATGTTCATCAGAGGTAACATGAACGCGCAGCGTTATATCCACGAAGTTCTAGAACCCCATCTTTTACCCTATCTTGACACCCTGGCAGATCCAACTTTCCAACAAGATAATGCCCGACCACATGTTGCAAGAGTCACAATAGACTTCTTTCAACATAATGATGTCACATTGTTACCATGGCCACCAAGATCTCCCGACTTATCCCCAATTGAGCACGTGTGGGATATGATGGGTAGGAGATTGCTCAATTTGCAACGTCCTCCTCAGACTCTAGAAGCACTTCGAGAGGAGTTGGTGGTTGCCTGGAATGAGATACCACAGGAGGACATTGACCACCTGATCAGAAGCATGCCTAGGCGCGTTGGAGAATGCTTAGCACATCAGGGTGTATCCACACAT